ATTGCTGACGACGTAAGTAAACAAATGAACATGGCTGAATGTATTGGATTCATTTTAATGCCACGGCGAGCGTCTCACTATTGTTGGTTTTCTACCGTAGCTTCTCCAACATTCCAACATCAAGCTTTTGTCGGATGATATTTTCCTAGACATTACACCAGGAGGAGCCCCTTCTGGCAATCAGACGAAGGAGGCGCTTCCAGCTGACAAGACGAGCAAGGATGAAAACAATAAGTCGGGCCATGAGGTTAGCGGCAAGAAGACTTCGCCGACAAGGTCTTCTTCGCCGTTTTCCTTCCTTGCTGGTATGGGTATTGGTGCTGGTCTAATGTTCCTTTTGTCAAAAACTCGATAGCTAATCTGTGTAGCTTATTTTCAAGTTTCTCGTGCGATCTTACTCTTGTCTTTTCGTGGTCACAAAATTTACCTCTGTAGTATCAACACTTGAATGCAGATGGTTCCTTTTTTATCGGTCGGGAGGCCGAAATGTACGAAACCATGAAACTGCGTCAACAAACGTCTGGAAGAACTCGTCACTGGCACCATTGGATGTCCCAACACTACTACTCTCCAACTTCAAAAATCGCTGTATCCAGCGAGACAGCATATCACCTGGAGTGAGTTGACCATTGACTTTCGTTTCCACCAGTTTGTGAACAGTCACTTGGCCGGAATTGGGATCCAGCTTGTAGTCTGAAACTAGATCAATCTTGAGAGGGAGACCTGACCCAGAACCAAATGCAGTAGCTCCATTTTGATTAGGTAATGGGATTTCTGGCAACAGACGAGGTGCTGCTAAGCGAAACGAATAGCTGAGGTATAGGCGGACTGTATCAAAAGCAATAAGTTCCACCTTTGGGGGACTCTTCTTCATATTACTGACAATGCTCAGTTGCTTTTGCACAATGGCTTGCCTTGTTCTTGCAAGAAGAGTTCCGAGAACCCGATTGTATAAATTCCTCCCGCGCACCAAAGGCTCTCCTAGGTACCCTTGCAGCTCCACATTTTCTCCCATGAACTCGGCTCCTGGTGTCACCGTTCGTCGATCCGTCGTCGTGTCATCAAAGAGACCCTGGTACTGT